CCTCACCGCTGCAGACGAAGACAGCGTCGCAGCCACCGTGCACGAGTTCCTGCGGTTAGGGGTGGTTAGTCCCTGGTTCTTTTTGCCCGCCCCCCCCCCCCTAACCCTGCACCTGTGTCGGCCACGCCTTGGCCTCAACACTGCCACTGCGCGTGCTTCTCGCCCTCTGGCCTGCTTCACGGTTGTGGATGGCTCCTGTCACTTCACTCCTAGTTCAGGCTGCCATGGGTTTTTCTCTAGGTAGGGTTGGTTGGTGGAGTCCTTGAGTTCACCCCTTAACCGGCCTCCCTAACCCTGCACTTGCGTGGACCGTCACTCCGGTCCTGAGTGGAAGCTCAAGGCGTGCGCGCCGGAAGAGCTGCTCGTGCCTCTGTTGAGGCCCTTCTCCGTTGGCATCATGCCTGAAGATGATGGCATTTGTGGAGATACTTTTGAGTTGCACCGCTGGGTTGCTGTTGCCGACTCGCGGCTGGTCGTTCGTGGATACCAGCAATGCTCCAAAAGCCCTTTACTTCAAAACTGCCCTTGGCACAATGCCAAACACTGTGTCCTTACTGACCTACTACCTGGTGGGTCGTGGCTGCGCTGTGGGCTGCTGGCTGCTGTTGGGAGAATTATCTTCTTCCTGGTCAGAAATTCTGTGTTCAATTCATGGGGAACTCTTGAGAAGCTTCTCGTGACAACTTGGCTTGGTATGTGAAGACAGACGTCAGACGCTGGAGACCAGCTGTCGTGATGCCCACTAAATGTAGGGTTAGGGAGGCAGGCCTAGGGGTACCCAGGGACTAACCCAAACTCTGACAGCTCCGTTTTTGAGGTGCTGGACAACTTCTGGCGCACACCTCTCCAGGCCCATGATCGAGTGTTCTTGCGATCGCTTGGTGGAGCGGAAGACCCGGATAACAGTGAGATCGTCCAGCAATTTCAGCGAAGATTTTACTCCTCTGCGCGGGCGCAAGGCTTCTCTGAGAAAGATGTCTTGCAAACATCGGCAACAATTTGTCGTGAAGTCAAGCATTTGCTCTACTTGGATGCAACTGAATTCTTGGTTCGCGCGCTCCCAGCTGAAAGTCGCACAAGCTTGGTCAGTTGGATTTCACAAATCTGCAGCGGAGGCCCCGGGCGACAGCAAGTAGATTCAACTTTCAAGGGACCTCGGTAGACATGCCAGGTGCTGGAAGGTTAAGCAGAGTGTGTGCCGCAGAAGGGGTCACAAGCGCAGTGAGAAGAGGCGCCGAAGGTGGTGCCTAGCACTTCGATGTCTACTGAAGAGTCTACTGCATGCAAAATTTGAGCTGGGTTTTACTGGGTGGAAGTGATGTTTTGCAAAGAGTTCCTATCAGCTGGATTTTTGGAATCAGCATGGGTGCAACGAGGACATGTGTCATTCGGCTCGGTCCTAAGTCCGAGCCCTGCGTGCTCCTTAGAAGAAACCATTGCATTTTCCATGGCTGTGGTTCATGATTTGGATGGCAACGTTCGGGGACGCAGGGGGGGCGAAGGTTGTGCACCGTCACCACTTATGTAGATACTTCAGTCGCTGCGAACTATGGTGGCAGGAGCAACGCGAGAGAGCCGCCAAATTTTTCCTGGGCTCGGAAGAGAGCTTATTTGCGGGCCCTTGACAGGGCCTCAGCCAGTCGGCCAGCTCGAGTGGAGGGACATGGTGCAGAGGCCGCTTCCTCATGCTCCAGCAACTCAACGGGCAGGCGTGGCGGCGCAACAGCGGAGCCTTTTCAAGGGATGCGACTTCAACAAGCACCTCGGCTAGGTTGAGAGTGGTCTGTTGGAACTGTGTTGGGTTGCATGCAGAAAGATATCAAGAAATCATTCAGTGGCTCCATGAACAGGAACTGATGGGACAGAGTGTATCATGGTGTTGGTAGATAGAGCGTGGAAGATGGACGTGGAGTACATGACGACTCCGCGCCTTTCTCAGGCCAGGCGGCGTGCAGTGCATTTGGGTTCGCAAGGGTCCCAAGGAGGCATCTTACGTTTAATTTCCAGTGTATTGCAGGAGAGATTGTTGCGCGTCAGGATTCCTTTTCAGACCCCTTTGGACATATGGTACGTGTATCAATTTTCATGGAACACACAGAAGCACTTCGAAGAGGTCTCTGCTAGGAAGGTGGATGCCTTACGGAAGTAGAGAAAAGCAGTCTGGAAACACATTCTCAAATGGCTATGCAGCTTGCCGCGCAGGAATGGGTGTTTGCTGTCAGGAGACTTCAACACACCTTTAAGGCCTAGTGGCCTCTCCGTGGGCAGTGGGGTCGCCGCCGCGAATAAGTGCCTTTACACAGATCAGAAAGTTTTTCAGGAGCTTATTTATTGTTCATCACCTCCAGGTGCAACCT